AAACAAAACAAAAAAAACATTTAAATAGTAAAACTTAACAATAAATGTGTATGAATCCGGAACAGTAGATTTATGTACAGATTTGTGCATCATTTACTCTATATAGAACTGTATAAATAAAGAGATATGCATATGTATTTACATAATACTTGAGAAAGAGGCAATAATTAAGGATGTAGAATGAATTACGGAAATGAATTACAGAACGCAGGTAATGATTCATATGTTAGCGGTTTAAGCTGGAGATGGCATGGGGGAAAAAATTGTTTTTATGCCTAGATGTTCTAGTGCACAGAGATCTGTAGCGTCTGCCTGAGGGGAGAAGTGCAAACAGGTTGTGTCCGGGGTGAGAGGGGTCTTTGATGATACTTAATTGTAGTTGAGATAGTTGTGAATTAGATCAAGTGATACTGAGTGAATATGGCAATTACTGTATTATTCCCCACCTCCAGGTATTTTAATAAAGGAGCTCACTGTAGCTTTATTGCTCCGTCAGCTTGGTTCTGGTTCTCAACACCCCCAAAAGCTCGTTCTCCATCATTGCATACTCACGGATGAGACATGCAGATAACTACATAGTTCAAAGTTTAGTCAACCTTCACTGCATTTTATTTAATCAATGAACTCTGGAAAAATAAACAGTGAATGTTTAACACTCTATTAGTTGCCAAAGTAAATTAATTGCAAGATCTATCATACCTAAATTGACCTCTGTACAAAGGAAAAAACCCTGTTCTCTTTTGAATCTCCACGTGCAATGTGAAAAAGGCAGATAAATGCCAGAATGGAAAACGAGCTATTTTAACTATGGTTTCATTTTCGACTTTACAAATTAACGAAAAATTAGCGCATATTTTGTAGTACAAGTGCACGGTTGTGAAAGTTTGTTTTTCTAAGTTTTACTGACATATAGCCAGAGCCGATCCTCCCTATATTGTTGCGTAGGGCCCCAGAAACACCAGGGGCCCCCTTGCTCTGAAAAATTATTTAATTTTAGTTTCGTGTTTGATTTTGGCCAGCGGTTATGAACACATGAATGTTCCTGCCGTTCTTGCTCGATACTAGAAAACAAGTTATATTCACACTGAGCCACGGAAGAGACACTGTTTCCCAAGCACTTTCCCTGTCCGCAATTCGAGACAAATATAGGCTACTTTGAGCTTTGTATATGTCAAAATGTCCGTCTTTGTGAGTTTTCACTAAACACAGTCACAGAAAATAAACCGTTTGAAAGGTAATCGAATGCTAGTCAGTATCTGTGCATCCTACTGTATAACCCTGCTGCTGTCTGTCATTAATGTTCATCACACAAAACAAGAAAATTAGAGAATTATTCACCGCTCTTCACTGAATATCAACTTTGTTATGAATCAATTTATGTTTAATTTATATGGTGAAGTCTATGCAGTGCTCTACATTACTTTCATCAATTTCTGTATAGTAGGCCATTATAGGCTCAATTGTTTGCATGTCCGCATGTGTTCAGGTTCTTCGGGGCGTACAGTATGGATGTGGTGACCAGCACGGCGTTCAGCGTCGACATCGACTCTCTCAACAACCCCAAAGACCCTTTTGTGACCAACATCAAGAAAATGCTGAAGTTTGACTTACTGAACCCTCTGTTCCTGATCACTGGTAAACAACTCAACTAGTCCTGTCAGTTCAAGTGTAGGACACTTTGTGAACAGCCTGTTCTTTTTCGATTTCTGCACCAGCTTTATTTCCTTTCATCACTCCTGTCCTGGAGAAAATGGATTTCGCCTTTTTCCCGACATCTGTGACCGATTTCTTCTTTGCTGCCTTAAAGAAGATCAAGTCTGAAAGAGTGGCCAGCGACCACAAGAAGGTACGACAAACACTTCACACGAACAACGCCAAGGTCATGGTTCGATTCCCAGGGAATGCATCAACTGATCAAAATGCATACATTTAATCCAATGTAAGTGGCTTTGAATAAAAGCATCTGCCAAATGCATGAGCGTGAATGTAATCGCATGCATCTTCCTGTAGAAGAGAGTTGACTTCCTGCAGCTGATGGTTGATTCTCAGACAGCAGGGAAGGAACACACAGAGAAAGGTGAAGCATCTCAGATAGTTAACCATAGAGTAAGAGCTTGCACTGTATTTGAAGGCTCGTTCCTCACACCGTGTCCCGTGCAGGTCTGAGCGACCACGAGATCCTCTCGCAGTCCATGATCTTCATCTTCGGTGGGTATGAGACCACCAGCAGCACTCTGTCCTTCTTCTTCTACAATCTGGCAAACAACCCAGAGGCCATGAAGAAACTGCAGGAGGAGATCGACCAGACCTTCCCTGATAAGGTAGAACGTCAATGAAACTCTCTCACTGGGATCATTCTGAAGAGTTTGAGACTTTACCCGCTGACTCCACTGTGTTGAAGGCTCCGGTGGACTATGAAGCCGTCATGAACATGGAGTATCTGGACGCGGCGCTGAACGAGTCTCTCCGGCTGTTCCCCATTGTTGGTCGCCTCGAGCGGGTCTGTAAGAAAACGGTGGACATCAACGGCCTCCTCATCCCTAAAGACATGGTGGTGATGATCCCGACCTTCGCCCTCCACAGAGACCCGGATTACTGGAGCAACCCGGAGAGCTTCAAACCCGAGAGGTCAGGACGCCTTTCAATCATTAATTTACACTAAAAACCCAACATCTCATTGGTTCTAACTGTCTGTACAGATTCCTGTAACGAGCAGACTCTCTCTTGCCTCATTCCCAGGTTCACTAAAGGCAACAAGGAGTCGATCGACCCCTACATGTACATGCCCTTCGGTCTGGGGCCCAGGAACTGCATCGGGATGAGGTTTGCTCAGGTGAGCATGAAGCTGGCCATCGTGGAGATCCTGCAGAGGTTCGACGTCTCCGTGTGTGACCAGACTCAGGTGAGCAGACGGCTCCTCCTCACCATCTCACAGCAGGACTGCGGTCCTTCACTCACGCTCACCTTGTCTTGCTCTTCACAGGTTCCTCTGGAGCTCGGCACCAGTGGTCTCCTGGTCCCCAAGGACCCCATCAAACTCCAGTTCAAGCCTCGGAAGGTTTTCCTCTCAGAAGATACGTGTAACAACAACACATCGTAAAGAAGCTCTGCTGCTCGCTTCTCTTTCAGTCCGAGGAGAAGGTTTAACTGGTCTTTTAAAATAAAAGAACAGCCGTAGTCTCTAGTCTTCAGTGAAGAGGAGGATTCTCGGGGTCTTTCGGACTCAGACTGAGAGTTCAGTAACTTTACTTGTAGTGAATGTTGGACAGATTCTGCTTCTGATTTTCTGAGACTGCCAACAATAATGCCATGAGATTCATATTTAGGGGTTTTATTTTGATTGAGAGAACAAAAAATGAGATCAACCTTTAAAGAAATGATATGGAAATGAGAAATCATATGGAAATATGAAATAAAATGTATTTTAAAAAGTCTGCAGAAATGTATGTGACATTCCCAGCCCGCTGCATACTTGCATCTGCACGAATACACATCTCCAGTACTACTTCAAATTAATACACCAGACAAAATATCTCACTACAAGCACATAAATATGATGAATAACGCAGCGTCCTCTGACACACATTAACAGTCAAAAATATTTCCATTAACTTTTTCTAACACCAAGATGTTAAATCAGGATATACACATGTGAATGTGACCCACAATTTCTCAATGACCACCAATTCTTGCAAGGGTTTCACTATTTTAAATTCCCTTTTAGTTCTTTTTTCCCACAGTTTCAATGGAAAAATATTCCAAAAACACTTCTTTTGGCGTTTTACTTAAGGGTACAATGAAGACGGCTCATAATCATGCCTTATAGGGTTAGAACCTACAAGCGTTTTGTTAATGACGCTTTATCTTTAACCACGCTTTATTAGCCATACCTCAGGAACGACATGCTTTTTGTGCATATGTGTTCATGACCCAGAGCCATCACCATTCCTAAACATATAGGCTAGTCCTCTTAAAACACATTATGACAGGGCTTGGGTTAAACCAGGATTAGGCCATAGTTCAATTGGGACATTTAAGTAGCTTTTATAAATTTGCCTTCGATAAAAACACTACTGATGTGCATCTTCAGACAAATCAATGGCACTGACAGATTTTAAGATCAGTTTCTTTCGGTTAAAACAGCCCAGACATGTGTTTTAGTCTGGGACTAGATCTTACTGATCCTAAACCTCTGAACGACAGTGTATATAATTCATAAAAATAATAAAGATACATATAAACATATACCTATATATAATTTCAGTGTGATTTTTGAATAATAAGGGTCAGTTTGACGTGCAAATATCATAATATTTCATAATGATAATAATAGTAAATGCAACCAGCACTCCGGAACAGAAAGCACAGATGTGTTGTGTTTGTTCTGATTGGTAGAGAGTAAGAAGTGAGCTCTGAACTGAGAAACACACGCAGGTTCAGGTCACAGATCTGCAGAGGTCGCTCGTTTAGGACGCCCTCATTATGTGCTTACAACAACACATCATCAAATATACACTTAAAAACAGGGTTATTTTAGTATTATTGAGATATTAGTTTTTGTTAATATTTTGAATGTTTTCATTTTTATATTTTTAAAATAGTTTTAGTCATTTTTATTAGTTTAGCTTTTTTTAAATATGTATATAGTTTTATTAAATTTCTCTCAGTTTTAGTTATTTTAGTATTTCAAGTTAAACTAAATTAAAATGAGATTAGAGACTAGCAACTAGCTGAAACATAATAATCATTTCTATTTTATTTTTCAGTTAAAGACTTGTTTTTTAAGGTTTTAATTTTAGTTCATGATAATAAACCTGCATAAAAACAATTAATATAAGTCAGACAACAGAAAAGTCATATAAAATGAAAAGCTGACTTTAAAAAAGTATGTTTTACCATAAGATTTGAGAACACATACTGTCTGAGCTTGTTTAATATCAGCTGCAAGTGATTTCTGTAGGAACATTACTACAGCACAATACTAAAAAATACTCAAAGGTTTGGGCTCAAATATCATAATAAGTGTGTTTCAAAGGGTTTCTTTCTCTTTATTTATGAAACAGTTGTGGATAATACTGTGATATGACTGTGGGGTGATATTGTGAAGAAACTATCATCAAAGCTCACAAATGAATGACTGTTTATTCAAAAGCAGCACACTGTAAAATCTTCACTAAACTCAACCTCATATTTAAATAAAACAGACAGACTTTGTTCAGAACAATGCTTGAGTTCAGATGTTTGCAATCGTTGTTATAAAGTGTTGGTTCACTGGGTTATTCTCTCCACTCTGGCGATGATTTTCTGGTCAAACGTGGGCAGGACGGCCTCGTCCTCTCGTATCTCCTCGTAAACCGCTCCGCAGGCGAACTCAGCGCTCGCTCTCTTGAAGAAGAACCTGCTGGAGCGAGAGACAGATGAGAGAGACCCGCTCATCCAGAGGAAAGCTTCGACTCCTGCGCTGATGAGAGCGAGCGCGTCTCACCTGAACGGCCCCCTGCGCGTCAGCAGAGACCTGAAGAGACCGAGAGTCACCACGGAGACACCCTGAACACACGACCGGTACGGGATCACGTCTCCATCATAACAATACACCACCGTCACACACCTGCAGAGACACAGAAACCCTGCCAGATCAGGATGAGTTTGTTTCTTCATCAGGTTTGTAGAAATGTAGCATTGCATCAGTGTCTCAGCAATGGATGCTCTGCAGTGAATGGGTGCCGTCAGAAGCATCTCATTGCAACTCACAGCATCTCTCAGCATCTCTCAGCGTCTCACTGTGTCTTACTGTGTCTCACTGCATCTCACCTGCATCTCACTGCGTCTCACCTGCATCTCACTGCATCTCACAGCATCTCACCTGCATCTCACTGCGTCTCACCTGTATCTCACTGCATCTCACTGCGTCTCACCTGCATCTCATTGCAACTCACAGCATCTCTCAGCATCTCTCAGCGTCTCACTGTGTCTTACTGTGTCTCACTGCATCTCACCTGCATCTCACTGCGTCTCACCTGCATCTCACTGCATCTCACCTTGTGGATTATTGTGATGTTTTTATCAGCTGTTTGGACTCTCATTCTGACGGCACCCATTCACTGCAGAGCATCCATTGCTGAGACACTGATGCAATGCTACATTTCTACAAACCTGATGAAGAAACAAACTCATCCTGATCTGGGATGAACTGAGAGTGAGCAGAGTTTTAGCTCGTTTTCCACATGTTTTGGCTGAAGTACTGAAGTATACAGTGAATGTGATGAATGATGTGGTGAACACTGACTGGTGTGTGTGTGCAGGACTCGTCACGATGCTCTTCACGGTAACGTCACGTGTGTCTGGCCGTGTGCTGATTTCACGCTGCGTATCACAATCACTGTCCAGCATCTTAAGCGAATGGCACGATGCAAATGCAGTAGTGGCACTAGTGTCTGTTTCTTCTTCCTGTCAGAACAGGAAATGATGCGATTACTCACAAAGGTTGTGCTCGGCACTACTTCAGTATGTGTACACTGCGTTTGTCACAATGTGCATCAAATAAAAACAGCATCACACAATGCATTGTGTTTAAATGCTTCTAGTGTCCAGTGTGATGAAGTAACAGGAAGTGATGTCGAGATGGGGGGCGTGGCAGTCAAAAGTGTGTGCAGATGAGCTTGCTTTTTTAACAGCACTAAATGACTGGAGTCCTAAATGATCACTGAAGTCCTGCATACGTCACCAGAGAGAAGACTGACGCTTCACTGGAAGATCCAGTTATGATATTCTGATTAAACATTTCCAGGTAAACATTTTTGGTGCAAAAAAGCTTTGATAGCTTTATAATATAAACTCCATAAACAAAATACAAAGATCTGAAAACGCATTTGATGAGCCCTTTAAATCTGTGGCGGTAACTCACTGTGTGTCTCAGCGCTGGAGGGCTTTGAGTTTGTGTTTGTGTCTGCAGCTCCTGCAATCGTCTCATCAGTTCAGCTGCAAAGGTGTGTGGCGTCATCTTCCCCTATTACAAACACACACCTCTTTACTGAGATGAACGAGCTCATGTCACACAAGTCTGATCATACAGAAGGCTTATAGTGAACACAAAGATGTTCTTAAAATTAAATACATGGTTTATTCATTTAATCATTTATTTTCACACATTCGTTTCACTCACCGGTGTGTGTGGCAGGTGTGTGTGTCTCGTGTCTCTCTCTCGTGTTCGGTGGTGTCGATGACATGCGTGACGCCGCTGCCTGTCGAGGGAAACACATCAGTGGACATGACGACAACGTGGAGGTCATCTCTCAGCATCTCACCTGCAGCTCACTGCATCTCACTGCATCTCACAGCATCTCACCTGCATCTCATCGCGTCTCACTGCGTCTCACCTGCATCTCACTGCATCTCACCTGCATCTCACTGCGTCTCACCTGTATCTCACTGCATCTCACTGCGTCTCACCTGCATCTCATTGCAACTCACAGCATCTCTCAGCATCTCTCAGCGTCTCACTGTGTCTTACTGTGTCTCACTGCATCTCACCTGCATCTCACTGCGTCTCACCTGCATCTCACTGCATCTCACTGCGTCTCACCTGCATCTCACAGCATCTCACCTGCATCTCATCGCGTCTCACTGTGTCTCACTGCATCTCTCAGCATCTCACTGCATCTCATTGCAACTCACAGCATCTCTCAGCATCTCACCTGCATCTCATCGCGTCTCACTGTGTCTCACTGCATCTCTCAGCATCTCACTGCATCTCATTGCAACTCACAGCATCTCTCAGCATCTCACCTGCATCTCATCGCGTCTCACTGTGTCTCACTGCATCTCTCAGCATCTCACTGCATCTCATTGCAACTCACAGCATCTCTCAGCATCTCACTGTGTCTTACTGTGTCTCACTGTATCTCACCTGCACTCCTTATTGCCTGGACGCTTCTGATTGGCTGTGTTGTGAGGAGGGAGGGTCTCTTTCTCAGACTCCTCCCCCTGAGAGGCCGTGGTCTGGTATCCTGAAAACCGTGTTTCTGGTGACGGGTCAGCAGTCTGAGTGTGTTTCAGATACACTTCTGACCGGAGGAACAGCGGGAACAGACTGTCCTGTAACACCGCCTGCACCTGCGCATGCGCCTGCACAAACAGGGCGGAGTCTAGCCGCAGCTGCTGAATGCCGTCCCGTATGCCGCACCTGGTCTCGGCTGTGATCCTGCGGGACACGACTCCGTCACACAGATAGCAGCGGTACATGGCTTTGGCCAGTTTGAGCCGCCGCTCCATCGCATCCTCGGGAACCTTCTGAAATCCACTGCAGGCGAACCAGAACTCCAGCAGTGCTGCGCAGCCCAGCGTCCGCAGGAAGCGCAGGAACAGAGCCGTGCCGTCACGGTCTTCCAGCAGCGTGAGCAGCGTCTCGGCCCAGGGCTCGTACGGCCCGTCCGGTGACACGCTGCCCTCGGGCTCGAACCCCAGATTTGCATCAGAGCGGCGCACTGCAGCCACTGGAGCCTCCGACCAATGAGATGCAGTCTTATTGCTGTAGACCCCGCCCTCACTGCCCTCCTCACCCGGCACTGGTGGACGAGGCGCGTCCTCGCTGAAGACCCCGCCCACATCACCACGGCAACTCATGATGTCATCTGAGGCTCCTGAAGGCTGAATCATATGAAAATATTAATATGTAAAAATTAATACAAATATTGTAAAGTAATCATTATTGCTTGTTCTGAAATGTGCACAGTTCATATTGGTTTTTTATGCCTTTAATCCATTTTTGTTTAATTTCATTGTACTTTTTTTTTATAGTTTCGTCCAGTTTTTTGTTTTATTAGATTAGTTTTTATTATTTGTTTGTTTTATTTGTTTACTGTTTAAGTCCATTTGCACTTGCATTATTGTTCTTTGTTTTATTTTTCAGTCAGTTTATTTGTAAAGTGCTTTTCCCTTGCATATGGTTTTATTTGATTTGCACTGTGTTTTGGTATTACAGATTTAAATTGAATACATAAAAATAGACAACAACCTTTTTTAATTTCGAAAGATGTAAAATGTGTCATTATTCCTGTCAGAAACAAATTTTTGTAAATGGTTTTTAATAATAAAAAACGCAACAGTTTGAATTGAATTTGTTCTGTTGAATTTATATGATAATGTCTGCAATCAAGTCACGAATTAAAAACGCAGAGCTCCGATTACAAGCTATTTAACACTGAATAATTTGCATGCAACATCTGATGGTTTCTCATCTCATTTCGTCAGTCAGAATCACTGCAGTATGATGCATTTGATCAACTTTATTCAACGAAAGACAGAAAATCAAATGACGCTTCCTCTCGACTTATAATGAAAATATCAGTGTAGGTTAAAACATGAAGTAAACATTACTATTAAATGTTTATTAAGTTCAAAGTAATAAGATGATGATTTTACCTGACGGGAGTTTGAGTCGCGCGCAGCTGCTGTGAGTCTCGAGCTGTTAGTGAGAACACGAGCGCCGTCACTCATCATCCTCATCCTCATCATCATCATCATCACTGCCTCTCAGTCATACATCCACTCCTGCTCATCGTTTTTAAATATTATATGCTGCTCTTTATTTTCTTACTTCTTTTTGTCAAATTTGTTGGTTGCAAAGTAAGTTCATGAACTTTTGATTGGATTTTATATTGTACTTCTGCTGTTATTTTGTTTTATTTGTTGATATCAATTTAAATTTTCACTGTCGCTACTTTTTATTTACTTATTAATTAAATTATTATAATTTTTTTTTTTTTACTTAACGCATTTCATACTATTTTCACTATTAAATCACACCATATAAAAAGTGAATGTGAAATCAAATCACACGTGATACAGGCAGTAACCTAATTGTTGAAGACATAGATGGATGTAGTTTGATGTACTCAAGTGCTGTAATGTGTGTTCTGTTCTAGTAACTCCATCAACATGCAGAATGAAGTTTGTGCTGCTTTCTCTCTTCAGCATCCACAGATGATCTTCTAGAAATCTGTCCATCTCAAGGAGGAGGAGGGATGTTAAAGGTCACACCACACGCCATCTGACACACTATAGGAGTCCGACCTCAGCTGATACACACACACACACACTCTCTCTCTCTCTCTCACACACACTCTCTCTCTCTCACAAACACACACTCTCTCTCTCTTTCACACACACACACTCTCTCTCTCTTTCACACACACACACTCTCTCTCTCTTTCACACACACACACTCTCTCTCTCTTTCACACACACACACTCTCTCTCTCTTTCACACACACACACTCTCTCTCTCTTTCACACACACACACTCTCTCTCTCTTTCACACACACACACTCTCTCTCTCTTTCACACACACACACACACACACTCTCTCTCACACACACACACACACTCTCTCTCACACACACACACTCTCTCTCTCTCACACACACACACACACACACACACTAAGGTATCTAATTAGACTCCTATTGTTTTTATATACAACTAGCTACAAATACTCACCCTAACAGTAAACGTTTTTGCATTTTTAAAATAATGAACAAAAAAACTTTTCTATGAGTGAGGACATCCCCAAAGTGAGGTCTTGTCCGGTTTATCAGACTTCTAGGTACAAATATATCTCCAAAATATGATTATGAAAAATGAGAATATAACACTTGATAGAAAAGCCATGTGTAAGTAAACACAGGTGACACTGCAGAAGTGTGAAACGCCTCTAAACGCTCCTGCGGTCCTCAGTGTGTGACTGCTCTCTCCCGCTGTGACCTGCGTCTCCTGCGATGATCAGGAAAGGTCACGGTGAAGGCTAATCCTCGTCTCCAGGGAGCGACACGGCTAATCACTACTGTTTCACAACGCCGTGACCTTTAACACCACACTGACCCCGAGACGCCTGCAGAGACTCCGGCTTCAGCACTCACCGGAAAACAACACATTCACAACCATCATTCTGACTCGAATTCAGCCTCATTAAACACTAAACATCCTTTCTGATGTCCTGACTCGCTCTGAATAAAAGCATGGAGGCCTTCACACACACCAGCATGAGAAACAACCAACAATTCAGGAGCGTTTCGCAAGATTTGTCCGTAATAGTAAAGGAGAACCGCATTTTCTCTCAGTCTATTATATAATGAAATATTTTTGTGATTTGGATCCTTCTCTTCATATTCCACAGACAGAAGAATTAAGAGTCGCTCTCATCTGAAATGTCTCAACATTTAAAAAAAGACATTACTACTGATAAACACGTGATTTCAGTTGTTTTATTTGATTTCCACACCTCTGTCTTATTTTCAGAGAAAAATGTCTCCAAAATGACAAGAGTCCCGTACAACGAACAGAAACTGTTAATGTCACCCAACAAACAGAAGTAAAAACACAGGACAGTCAAATTCACTGCTTAAAAAACAAAACACACAAACTGTGCAAAAATTATTTTAAAAACAGCCACAGTCACATGACAAACATTCACTCAAGCTCCGCCTCCTTCGTCCCATTGCCGGCGGAGATATTGTGGCTCTCTGCACTCCCATCAGCTTTCTCTCCATCCCCGTGTTCCTGCGTCTGATTGGCTGCTTCCTGCGGGCCTGTGCTCTGATTGGCTGCTTCCTGCGGGCCAGTGTTCTGATTGGCTGGCTCCTTGGCTACTTCCTGCAGGTTGTACTTGCGGTAGAGCGTGTAGTCCTTGAGGACGCTGACGCAGCAGACCGTCTTGATGATCTCGATGATGATGGAGAGCTCAGGGTTGGTCAGATCTACCTTATTCAGCGGGTTCAGCTTCCCCACCAGACCTAAACCCAGCAGAGGAACAGACAGTGATGAATGGCGTGTTTGAGGCAGCATGTGATGTGTGTGTGAGTGCTGCTGTACCAGCCACGGCTTTGATGACCTCCTCTCTCTTGCTGTGGCTGCTGTTTCGGGCTTTGAAGCAGATCTGGTAGGTGGCACGGAGCGGCGCTCTGAACCAGCGCTCCAGAAATACACTCAGAAACTTCTCCATGTCCTCGGGAAACGCTTTACACGTGCCACTGACCGGCAGCATGCGCAGGATCACACGGGACTTCCTCTTCTTCGTCTGATAGAGGTCTGACAGAATGTGATGGACCAGCTGCTCTGGGTCTGAGAGAGAGAAAGAGAGAGTTGTGATCTCAATCTGAGGTTCAGATGGAGCTCACCTCACGTGATGATCTGATCAGACTCTCACCGACTCCATGAGTGCGAATGAACACCACGTTATGAGCTCCGCTGTCCACCGCACTGAACCTCTGCTGATGCGTCTTCATAGATGACTGTATCTGAGACACTTCCTTCTTCAGAGCAGCTTCGGCGTCTTCATCATCCTCCTCATCCTCACTGAGACTGTCCTGTGTGTCGGCGGGATGTAACACACTACAGTTACACATCTCCATAAAACACTAGTGTAAGACATCTCTATAGTGCACTACACTAGTGTAACACATCTCTATAGTGCTCTACACTAGTGTAACACATCTCTATAGTGCACTACACTAGTGTAACATCTCTATAGTGCACTACACTACAGTAACACATCTCTATAGTGCACTACATTACAGTAACACATCTCTATAGTGCACTACACTACAGTAACACATCTCTATAGTGCACTACACAAGTGTAAAACATCTCTATAGTGCACTACACTAGTGTAACACATCTCTATAGTGCACTACAGTAGTGTAACACATCTCTATAGTGCACTACAGTAGTGTAACACATCTCTATAGTGCACTACAGTAGTGTAACACATCTCTATAGTGCACTACAGTAGTGTAACACATCTCTATAGTGCACTACAGTAGTGTAACACATCTCTATAGTGCACTACAGTAGTGTAACACATCTCTATAGTGCACTACAGTAGTGTAACACATCTCTATAGTGCACTACAGTAGTGTAACACATCTCTATAGTGCACTACAGTAGTGTAACACATCTCTATAGTGCACTACAGTAGTGTAACACATCTCTATAGTGCACTACAGTAGTGTAACACATCTCTATAGTGCACTACAGTAGTGTAACACATCTCTATAGTGCACTACAGTAGTGTAACACATCTCTATAGTGCACTACAGTAGTGTAACACATCTCTATAGTGCACTACAGTAGTGTAACACATCTCTATAGTGCACTACAGTAGTGTAACACATCTCTATAGTGCACTACAGTAGTGTAACACATCTCTATAGTGCACTACAGTAGTGTAACACATCTCTATAGTGCACTACAGTAGTGTAACACATCTCTATAGTGCACTACAGTAGTGTAACACATCTCTATAGTGCACTACAGTAGTGTAACACATCTCTATAGTGCACTACAGTAGTGTAACACATCTCTATAGTGCACTACAGTAGTGTAACACATCTCTATAGTGCACTACAGTAGTGTAACACATCTCTATAGTGCACTACAGTAGTGTAACACATCTCTATAGTGCACTACAGTAGTGTAACACATCTCTATAGTGCACTACAGTAGTGTAACACATCTCTATAGTGCACTACAGTAGTGTAACACATCTCTATAGTGCACTACAGTAGTGTAACACATCTCTATAGTGCACTACAGTAGTGTAACACATCTCTATAGTGCACTACAGTAGTGTAACACATCTCTATAGTGCACTACAGTAGTGTAACACATCTCTATAGTGCACTACAGTAGTGTAACACATCTCTATAGTGCACTACAGTAGTGTAACACATCTCTATAGTGCACTACAGTAGTGTAACACATCTCTATAGTGCACTACAGTAGTGTAACACATCTCTATAGTGCACTACAGTAGTGTAACACATCTCTATAGTGCACTACAGTAGTGTAACACATCTCTATAGTGCACTACAGTAGTGTAACACATCTCTATAGTGCACTACAGTAGTGTAACACATCTCTATAGTGCACTACAGTAGTGTAACACATCTCTATAGTGCACTACAGTAGTGTAACACATCTCTATAGTGCACTACAGTAGTGTAACACATCTCTATAGTGCACTACAGTAGTGTAACACATCTCTATAGTGCACTACAGTAGTGTAACACATCTCTATAGTGCACTACAGTAGTGTAACACATCTCTATAGTGCACTACAGTAGTGTAACACATCTCTATAGTGCACTACAGTAGTGTAACACATCTCTATAGTGCACTACAGTAGTGTAACACATCTCTATAGTGCACTACAGTAGTGTAACACATCTCTATAGTGCACTACAGTAGTGTAACACATCTCTATAGTGCACTACAGTAGTGTAACACATCTCTATAGTGCACTACAGTAGTGTAACACATCTCTATAGTGCACTACAGTAGTGTAACACATCTCTATAGTGCACTACAGTAGTGTAACACATCTCTATAGTGCACTACAGTAGTGTAACACATCTCTATAGTGCACTACAGTAGTGTAACACATCTCTATAGTGCACTACAGTAGTGTAACACATCTCTATAGTGCACTACAGTAGTGTAACACATCTCTATAGTGCACTACAGTAGTGTAACACATCTCTATAGTGCACTACAGTAGTGTAACACATCTCTATAGTGCACTACAGTAGTGTAACACATCTCTATAGTGCACTACAGTAGTGTAACACATCTCTATAGTGCACTACAGTAGTGTAACACATCTCTATAGTGCACTACAGTAGTGTAACACATCTCTATAGTGCACTACAGTAGTGTAACACATCTCTATAGTGCACTACAGTAGTGTAACACATCTCTATAGTGCACTACAGTAGTGTAACACATCTCTATAGTGCACTACAGTAGTGTAACACATCTCTATAGTGCACTACAGTAGTGTAACACATCTCTATAGTGCACTACAGTAGTGTAACACATCTCTATAGTGCACTACAGTAGTGTAACACATCTCTATAGTGCACTACAGTAGTGTAACACATCTCTATAGTGCACTACAGTAGTGTAACACATCTCTATAGTGCACTACAGTAGTGTAACACATCTCTATAGTGCACTACAGTAGTGTAACACATCTCTATAGTGCACTACAGTAGTGTAACACATCTCTATAGTGCACTACAGTAGTGTAACACATCTCTATAGTGCACTACAGTAGTGTAACACATCTCTATAGTGCACTACAGTAGTGTAACACATCTCTATAGTGCACTACAGTAGTGTAACACATCTCTATAGTGCACTACAGTAGTGTAACACATCTCTATAGTGCACTACAGTAGTGTAACACATCTCTATAGTGCACTACAGTAGTGTAACACATCTCTATAGTGCACTACAGTAGTGTAACACATCTCTATAGTGCACTACAGTAGTGTAACACATCTCTATAGTGCACTACAGTAGTGTAACACATCTCTATAGTGCACTACAGTAGTGTAACACATCTCTATAGTGCACTACAGTAGTGTAACACATCTCTATAGTGCACTACAGTAGTGTAACACATCTCTATAGTGCACTACAGTAGTGTAACACATCTCTATAGTGCACTACAGTAGTGTAACACATCTCTATAGTGCACTACAGTAGTGTAACACATCTCTATAGTGCACTACAGTAGTGTAACACATCTCTATAGTGCACTACAGTAGTGTAACACATCTCTATAGTGCACTACAGTAGTGTAACACATCTCTATAGTGCACTACAGTAGTGTAACACATCTCTATAGTGCACTACAGTAGTGTAACACATCTCTATAGTGCACTACAGTAGTGTAACACATCTCTATAGTGCACTACAGTAGTGTAACACATCTCTATAGTGCACTACAGTAGTGTAACACATCTCTATAGTGCACTACAGTAGTGTAACACATCTCTATAGTGCACTACAGTAGTGTAACACATCTCTATAGTGCACTACAGTAGTGTAACACATCTCTATAGTGCACTACACTACAGTAACACATCTCTATAGTGCACTTGTCTGACATCATGCTGCTGACCTGCTCGGGGCCGTAGAGCGCGTCCGCGTACTCGTTGAGCAGGCTGAAGGCTTCGCTCGTGCACTTGCGCTCGTTCATGTTGCAGGTGATGAGTACCCCCTGCGCGCCCACCTGCAGCTCGCGCGCGCCCCTGTGTTTCTTGTGCGCGTGTCCTCCGAAACGCTTCCTGCTCCTCTTGAGCGTCTCGGACATGACTGCTCTTTATCACGCACTCTCTGCTGCTGCTGCTGCTGAATGCAGAGATGCAGAAACTCCGCGTTATCAACGCGCTGCTGGCACGCGTGTGTTTGTGTCTGTCGCGCTTCAAGCTCTCCGCAGCGCGCGTCATACAGGGCCCCGTGTGGGACATGTGATTACGAAACGCGTTTGACGGTGCTGCAAAAAAGGTTACAAAACCATAAATATCACACGTGTTTTCTTTTTAAAAGTTATGAAAATACAGAGAATGAAATTTGTATTTATATAAAAACACTTAAAGCCTTTGTGCATAATGTATTATAAAAGTACTCATAATTGTTCGTTGAAATAAATTGTATAATTCATAAATTATGTGAAGTTAGAATGCATTATAAAATTTATTTGCAGATTCCTTATTACATATGAAATTGGTTATCATGTATTTTAATGCAAAGTTGTAACAATTAAAAGTTAAGTATTGTAACTGTGGATACAATTAAATAATGCAATGCATTATAAGGTTCATTACAAAGTATATTTTATAATGCATTATATATACAGGCTTCAAGTGAAGTGTTTGCCCGTTCTATAATTCTATAATCTATTGCGAGGAACATGTTACTCATGTAAAACCTACTAGAATGATCATAGAAGTTTCCCCGACAGAACAAATTAAATGTGTTTTCAAAAGTGATTTATTATATTATTTTACAGGTTTGTTAAAATCACAAAGACACAATTCATGAGATCATCATCATAATCATGATGCTGTAATGCAGAATAACTAAACACATATCATCTGAAGTCTCAATATGGAAATGCATACTTGCTGTCATGTCTTTAATGAGCAGTGTGCTCTTCTGAGATCTTGTTGATTCTCTCCCAAAAACAGAAGAATGGATGTAGAAATGTTAAGCTTAAGCTTACAGATGTCCCTGACAGAATTTCTAAAAATACTTTTAAAAAGTGTTTTCTTTATAATAAATGAATTCTTCAACAGGTTTGTTCAAATCTAAAGACACGATGAATCCAGTGTTCACCGGAGGGGTCTAGAGCTGCAGGTCTGTGGTGTTCTGATGTGGTTCTGTTTGCTGGACTGCATTAATCCAGACTCCCACTTGAAGAAGCCGCAGCTCTGTCGTCTGACGGGGCAGCTGTAGAACCCACGGCCGTGGTTCGGCCCGCCGTTCCCCACCGTCAGACGCCTGGCCCTCCGGCCGCAGCCGCACAGAGGAGACGTGATCTTAGACGCGAGGCTCACAGTGCGGGGCGGGTCTGTATAAACACTGAACGACGCGCCGCTGCGTCCTAAGAAGCGCGAGAGCGGCCCGTACGGGTCTGTGCGCCGGAGCGGTGTGCAGGCAGAGCTGGACGCTGGTCTGGCAGGTTTGTAGTGGTCTGACGGGGTTTTGTTGTGTCCTGCGGGATCAGGCTCCTCAGGCTCTGCCCCCACGAGCACGTCATCACAGGAGCCAGGCTCCTCCCCCTCGGTCAGCAGGACTCCGTCTCGCCAGCAGGCGTCTGGAGTCTCGGGGTCGTAGGTCATGTCTGAGAGCCCGGCCAGTGTGCTGAGATTCCCGAGCGGTCTGGACGCACACAGCGGAGTGTTTGTGCTGCAGAGGACGGTGCGCGGCGACACGAGCGATCGACACACACTCGTCTGCTGCTCGTTACGCTCGGGTCGCTCACTCAGCGCTGAGGGACGCTCACCAGAGACGCTTCCACGCGGAGGTCTGGACTTCACCAGCGCCTGAGAGACAGAGACACATGCTGGTTTAGCACAGCTCAGCGCCGGCTCCTGATTGGCTGTGGCGTCAGGCAGGGGGTGGAGTCACCTGTGACAGAACTCACCCTCCTCAGAGACTTGGTCACAGTCAGCAGACAGCCGTCAGACACCATCCTCCACGCCAGCAGAGCCGTGTTCCTCGCGTCCACCAGACCTGAGCAAATCACCACAGGAGGAAACATGCTTCAATACATCATGATTACGGCTTCTAAAAGACACAATTGTGTGACTCTAAATAAAGCAATAAGCCGTGGTTTACAGTGCACTTATAACAGCTAAGGGGCGTTGTTAGATATGACGCTAAGCGGAGCGGTTATAAATTCACTGTAAACCACGGCTTCACGGGGCTTACTTCTTTTATAAAACGGTTATTCCATATACGTAGTAAGGTTTCACAAAATAAAACAGAGCAAATAAAGTGTAATGATATTAATAAAAACAGTATTCTTCCACCAAACAATGTAGCTCCTCAGAAACAGTTGTGGTTGCAACAAAGTGGTTGCCGAGCAACACACAAACGTAAACAAAGGTGTATGTTACTTTGTAGTCATTTACAACAGCTTCGAACGCGGCTCAGCCAATCAGAATCAAGCACCGGAACTATGTTTTATAATCATAATTATAAAAGTCACAATTATGAGATAAAAAGTCATAATGACATAAAAAATTAAATGATCACAGTTTTGTCAATTATGTCATAAGTATGACTTAATATCTCATTTTAGACATGCCAATTTCAACATTATCTCATAATTATGACTTAGCATTTTATAACTTTGACCTCTAATCTCATAATTTCACATTTTTATATCATAATTATAAACATTTATCTCATTTTGTCCCCACTTTTCACAAAAACAAACCTGTGTGTGTGTGTGTGAGAGAGAGAGTGAGAGTGTGTGTGTAGTGTACCCGAGTGCTCTCTTCCTGTGAACTGGATGCCGAGGTCCAGCAGAGCTCCTCTCAGACCTTTGGGCTTCCGGTTATAGAAGAGCTGACAAACAACCAATAGAGTCAAACACTAAATGCCTGAAACCATGAACCGAACCGGGATGATTTCTCCCATTCATCAGGGTCTGTGTGTCTGTGTTTGTACCCTGTAAGTGGCTCGCAGGTCGATCCAGCTCTTCAGAGCTTCAGGAACACTCAGCTGCTTCCGTTTGCACTCGTACAGCAGACAGACTCCCAGATCCCAGTCTGCATCAACACACACACACACACACATTACAAATGAACCTACACAAGAGATAAAGCGCAGGCAGAGAGGCAAGCATTCTCTCACCTGACCATGTGACAAATGCACAGGGGTGTCCGGAGGGGGCGGGGCCTGTGCTGTCCGTCTCAAAGACCACGCCCCTCTCCTGCTGGAGACTGTGCAGCCAGCGAGTGAATCTGGACAGACAGATGTGGAGGGGAGGGGCGGACTCCACCTGATCCTGTCGGCCAATCATACGCAGGGTGACAGATACATGACTGAACTAAGCATCAATAATCACCAGAGGTGTCTATAAGAGCTCAGGTTAACCTGTGTGATGCCGGTGAGCTCCGTGCAGAAGGCTGACAGTACGGGGTGTTCCTGCGGCTGGACATACGAGTGGAACTCTGACTCCACTTCTCCGTTCGACACATTCAGCAGGACGGCCGGAAACTCAACTGATGAGGGAGCAAAACACATGTGAAGCCAAGCGATGAGACATGAAACAAAAACTCGAGAAGCATCAGGACTCTTACTGATCTCCTGGCCACAGCTGCTCTTCTCTCTCCAGCAGGTGGACTCAAAGTCAATGATGATCAGGAAAGAGAAGCGCTGCTCTGAGAAACAACAACACCAGCAGCAGCAGCAGAGTCAGTGACGATCCACACATGAACACACTCACAGATCAACACACAGCAGAGACTCTTACTGCAGACTGACAGAGACACTCACACACACACACACACACACACACACACACACCAGAGACTCTTACTGCAGACAGACGGACGCTGATGAGCTCCAGATGAAGGACTGCGCTTCCTGATCAGACCCAGCTCCCTGACACACATATCATCACATATGAGATACATGACATATTAGCAGAGAAGTGTAAATATACTGCAATGAACAAATATTTAAATACAATATCAGAGCAGTTTTGATATACATTTTATATTTAGTCTCAGCAAATCGTGTTGATAAATTATTGTATTTAATTATATAACGTTTATATAACACTAATCTGTTTAATCTGAGTGTCTAGTGTTTGTGTCAGATGAGATGTTGTTGTTTCTTACTTCGCCAGACTCTTTGTTGACATGTCGCTGCTGCTGCTGCTGCTTCACACTCGAGTTGCACACACAAACATCTGCTGAATGACTCGCCAAACATCCAAATGATGATTACATTCATAAACACAGCATGAAACACTCTCGCAGCTTTAAATTCCCCGCACAGCGAGACCGTTTCCGTTGTTACGCTGCACTTCCGGTCGCGCGCCTGCGCTGGGTGACGTTCCTCTCAGCGGAGCCTGTGATTGGTCGAGAGCGGCTGTAATCGCACGCAGAGCTGCAGATCGGATCAGTGGATACTAATCGATCTCAGAGCTGTAGATCAGCGAGCACACGTGACGCTTTCGCTCGTGTTTTTACGCGGTTATTTCGCTGTATTTACACTAGACTGACGTCATGACGGCCGAGATGAAATGCGCTGTGCTTTAGTTATTCATGGATATGATTATATGTAAATCAGACTGAGTTTTCAAGCATGATGAACTGAAGAACAGCACATCAGTGAATGAATAGCTGAGATGAAGAGTGAAAGGGACAGATGGACTCATCTTCATCCTCCTCATCCTCCGGTATGAGGAAGGCAGCGGACAGTCTGATCTCAGACTCATGTGAGAAGAGAGAAAGACTGGAGCTCATCTCAGAGGCGACTGCATTCACATTCACTCAGTCATTTTGCTGGACTTCATGAAGTCAGTGTGTTGATTCTGGATCATTCATCGAGTGTTTCTTGTGTGTTTCTGTGGATCAGGATGTCAGACACACACACTCACTCTCTCACACACACACTCAGACACACACTCACTCTCTCTCACACACACACACACACACACACGCACACACTCGCACTCGCACACGCACACACTCGCACTCGCACACGCACACACTCGCACTCGCACACGCACACACTCGCACTCGCACACGCACACACTCGCACTCGCACACGCACACACTCGCACTCGCACACGCACACACTCGCACTCGCACACGCACACACTCGCACTCGCACACGCACACACTCGCACTCGCACACGCACACACTCGCACTCGCACACGCACACACTCGCACTCGCACACGCACACACTCGCACTCGCACACGCACACACTCGCACTCGCACACGCACACACTCGCACTCGCACACGCA